TTACAATATGATGATCATTTTGAATATAAACATCTGGATTTTGCATTAGACATACAAATTTTAGATCTAATGTAATAATTTGGTTTACACAAAGCAAGTATTTTATCTTTTGTGCAAAATATATGAAGTTTACATTCAAAATATTCCCTGACCTGCAAGGAATCCAGAAATGTCAATTATATTATCCTAACTTTAGTCTGAGGTATTATTTATTACTAAACGTTAAAATCTAGTGTTTCACCCAATCATTTCTCAGAGAGGTAGGGGCCAGTGAGCTGGGAAGAGGGGGGGGGAATTTGAGTCCATTATTTGAATGGACATTAACCTGGCGACTGTATTTCTCTTAAATATTAATTGTGTGAGCATACCATCATAAAATTTAGATGTTATTTTTACTACAACATAGGTATTGTGTCAGAAAAAGTGGAGTTTGGGGGTCAGGCCAGTCTCTATTGGAATTAATCCCATATGTTCTGGTGTTCACTTTACACGGTTTTCACTTTCCGCGGTACCCTGTGGGTTCAATTGACCGCGTAAATCGGGGTACTACTGTACTTCACCCAGACACTATCTGTCAATCAAAATACCCCACCTCCGGCTCCCCCCTCTTCCCACGCTCCTCCCTCCTCCCTACCCCCCACCTTCCCCCACCTTCCCCCCCCTTCCAGAGAAATGTTTGGGTTAAAACAGTATGTTTACATTTTTAGTAATAAATAATACCTCACACTAAAGTTAGGATAATATAATTGACATTGCTGGAGTCCTTGCAAGACCAGGAATATTATGAATATACACGTCATATATTTTGCACAAAAGATAACATATTTGCTCCGTGTAAACAAATTCTTACATTAGATATAAAATTTGTATGTCTAATGCAAAATCCATGATGTTTATATTCAAAATGATCGTCATATTGTAAGAATTCCAGCAATGTAAATTATATTCTGGCCGGGTAATTTGTATAAATTTTATGAGCTAAACAAAAAAATAATACTTCACCCGGGTATATGAGTAGATGCACCGCGTAAAGTGGGAATTCCGGTTCTGGCAGGGTAAAGTGTAAATGTAGAAACGCGGAAACGAGAACCGCGTAAAGCGGGGTATTACTGTACTAAGCCTCACTATTTCCTCTAATATGTCAAGGAAGCCACACATCCATAACATTGCTAAAGCTGCCTCCCGAAAGCCGGGAATGCTGTACAGATGCCGTAGCCACTTCACTACTGAGCAGTTGCTTCAAGTTTAAAAGGGATTCATTCATCCTAACTTGGAGTACTGCTCTCATATCTGGGGTAGCCCTTCTTCTGTCCAACTGTTAGATAGGGTGGAATCAAAGGCATTTCATCTTATTGAATCTCCTCCTTTAGTCAATAATCTCTCTTCCCTTTCTCTTTGCCGCAATGTTGCTTCACTCTCTCATTTACAGGTACAGTGGGGTATGCTATAACGAATCTAATTGGTTCTAGAACCTTGTTCGTTATAGCATTCGTTCGTTATAGGATTAATCCGTTCCAGGCCCCCAAATACAACCACTTAGCACTGAAAAATATAATATAAAATTGTAAAAATTGTAAGAAAGTGCATAAATATGCATCTAAACCCCTGAAATAAAGAATATCATTAATATTTGTAATAAAAAAACAATAAATTAGAAAAAAAAAATTAAATAATGTTCGTTGTAGGAGTTTCGTTCGTTATAACATTCTCAATTTTATAGGTAAAACCGTTCGTTATAGGAATATTCGTAGTAGGATCCGTTCGTTATAGCATACCCCACTGTACTTTAATTGGCATTGGTCGGTGGATTTGGCATCCTGTGTACCGCCAGCAAGGCCGTGGGCTCATAACACTCGTCTTGCCTGTTGGTCACACTAGAATAACCAGTTATGGTACATCTTTCTTTCTTCACACAGCCAAATATGGAATACTTTGCCTTCTCTGTTTCCATCCTCTTACAATCTGTCTCACTTCAAAAAGCCGGTTTTCCAGCATCTTCGTGCTGTAGATTAACATAGTCTTAGGTACAGTATTTAGGTATTAATAGTACTGTATTCTCATAAAATGTATTTAGAGGAATTTTTATGGTCTTTAACTTATGTAGGCTCAATGCAGTACATATATTCACTATAAACACTCGTTACCAATACTGTACTGTATAGTACATACAGTATATGTACTACATAGAATTTTTTTACAGTATCTTGATACTGTTTATGGTTGGTTTATATTTAACATACAGTACAGTCGTAATTTTTAACTATTTTATTATTGCTTTGATAAAATGGTCTTCCAGGAAATATTAGGGTACTTTAACTGGCATAAGCAGGTGTGGCTGTATGTACAGGTACTCCCCGACTTAAGTCTACCCGCACTTACGACCTGCCTCAGTCGTACCAAAATTTGGTCAAATTATGTATTTTTGTGTCCCAAAGTCAGTACACAGACAAAATTTACATCTGTAATTCGCTTTAAAATGGCTGGCAAGCTTAAAAGTGAGAGCTTTATGGTGCTGAGAAGAAAATGAGACCCCCATTTTAGATTTTCTATGTGTTATTTAAGCATTTCCGACTTACGACCATTTCGACTTACGACCTGGATGTCGGTCCCTAACCCCTTCTTAAGTCGGGGAGTACTTGTACAGTAATGTCGAAGATGAACGAACAGGGTTTATATTGAAAATAATAATTTCTAAAATATATTAATAGTGCTTAGAGGAAATATTAATGCGTTTAGTGTGTGCCAATTTGTGGTTTGATGCATCGTCCCGTAAACATTGTCAGCCGTCATGCTGCGTCTAGTCAATGGCGAAAATGTTCCCATATATCCAGAAAAAAGTCATGTTATTAGTAATATCTAGTCATGAGAAGTTAATGGGAGGTACAGTATCCTCATAATAAGTTATAAACAAGGTTTGAGATATGACACCATATACATTTATGAGACTGTTATCAGTTGTAATTAGGTTGACCTGCATTTAGGTTTTTCTTCATTATACTGTACTCAGTTAAGACATCTGACATACTGTAGCAGTGCCCATAAAATGTGAATAAAATGTTTTACCCATTTACCCCTTATGTATGTTTTTTAACGCTGCTAATCTTACCTCAGCACCACCCAAGCTGACATATTGACATTTTGAAGTCAATTTCAATGAATAAGAGATACTACACAGTACATAAAATAAAGTGCAGGTATGAAAACAATAAATATTAATATACAGTCGCCCCTCGTTAATTCGGACTAATAGGGGGGGGAAGGGTGTCCGTTTTAGCCGATTGTCCGAATTAACCGATTTAGGGGTTAATATTGCATTATATTTCAAAGTCATTGTTTTCATCACGATTTTATCCCACTTTCCACTGTAATACGTACGTCATTTCAGCAAAAATATTAAATTTCCGTGAATGTATTATATCAAGCACAGTATGAATAGAATATCATTGTAATATAACAGTATTTTAACCGAAAGCTAGTAAAAAAACGAATAACATCTCAAGAACATCGGAAGCTTAGGTAAAGTCTTTTGTTTTCGTCATGTATTTTATCCTATTTTACATTGAAATACATCACATTTCAGCAAAACTACTGTTTATTTCCGAGAATATATTCATTCAGGCGCAGTTTAGGTAAAATATACGTGTGATATAACAGTTTTTTACCTGAAAACGATTAAAAAAACACGTACCCTCTAGCCCTGTTCAAGGATAGGACTGGGAGAAGCTGTTTGGTGATGCAGACGATGACAAGGAAAATGATTTGGATGGATTTTAATTAAAATATTCAGAAATATGGTATCGTAGTATTTATTCAAGTCAATTAGGATAGAATATTTTTGTAATACAACAGTTTTTTAACTGAAAACCAATCGAAAAGCGATTACGGTAACATCTTTTGAACGAAAGAAAGCGAAAGTCATCGTTTTCGTCACGATTTTATCCCACTTTCCACTGTAATACGTACGTCATTTCAGCAAAAAGATTACATTTCCGTGAATGCATTATATCAAGCACAGTATGAATAGAATACCATTGTAATATAACAGTATTTTAACCAAAAATTATTAAAAAAACGAGTAACTTCTCTTGAACATCGGAAGGTTAGGTAAAATCTTTTGTTTTCGTCATGTATTTTATCCTATTTTACATTAAAATACATCACATTTCAGCAAAACTACTATTTATTTCTGAGAATATATTCATTCAGGCACAGTTAAGGTAAAATATACATGTGATGTAGCAGTTTTTTAACTGAAAACGATTCGAAAAACACGTGTACCGTCTAGCTGATACTCAACAGCTGGTGGTGCATCATGCGTCGTTGTAAACAATAGGAGGTTGAAGTAGATTACCGGGTATTATATTAAGTGTGAAATATCAAAAAGGTTTTTATTACCGGTATATTTTGTAGATCAATGAGAACTGTTATACCGTATATGATATGATAAGTTAGCCTGTGCTAAGAACTTCAACATAGACTACTGAAAACACGTTGTAAGGTAATTTAGCCTTTTGTAAGTTGGTGAGCTTCATTTGCTGAAGGAACTGCACAACTTTTCTTTACTAATTGGTACATATTTTACATTTCCATTGTTTACTGGCAGTAAATGGTAAATATTTTTCATGTCTGAAGCTAAAAGTTGCATCCCCACCCCCACACTAGTGGTGATGTTACATTTAACCAAAAAGACGCTGGTGTTTTATCCCAGCAGTGGGTGGACCAGCATTTTAGCTTAAGGTCCGCGTAGGTAATATTCCTACAAATCTAAAAAAAAAAAAAAAAAAGTTTGTTCAGATTTTGTCCGAATTATCCGAAATCCGGATTAAAGGGGTCCGAATTAACGATGGTCGACTGTATTGTAAATGTAAATTATAACACTAATATTATAAGATACTGTATTGTAACCCTTCAGTCATGATAGAATGGTACTTTACTGTAACCCTTCAGTTAAAAACATTTTATACCTTATTAACTTATAACTGTACTGTATATATTTTCAGGTGTCTGGAAAAGCTAAGTTTCTCCCTGACGATGTTCCAAATTCAATTGAAGTTGTTGGCCGCATTGCTCCTGAGACAGTATGGGGTTACATTGCACAAATGAAGAAAAGTGGTTCCAAAGTAAGTTCAAAATTTTCCCATACAAATACACACAAAAAATTTTACCATGGCATACTAAAGTTTTGTGTGTTTACACTGTTTCCAGATATGTTGTATATCAGATATGCTTTATTAATGTCCAAATTATATTTTTAATATTTTTATTGACGGGAAACATTAAATCTCCATTCACATTTTACCCATTTGTCAAATTTTTATCACTTGTCCTCAGGATTGACTGTGAAAGGTACAAGGTGATGGTTTAAAAAATGGTCACATAAAAGCTACTCTTGAAAGGCATATTTTTAAATGGCAAATTTGTGAAAGGTATGGGAATCATTATTTCCCTAAGAATGATCAACCAACACCATATTTCACAGCCCTGTACTACTTGTCAACAAGTAAACAGGTATTAAAGTTTTAACTTCATTTAACAAAAGAAATTTTTAAAAAATAAGAAAATTATTCTCTTAATTTCCATTTTGTTTCTGTTTTCAGGAAATCCTTGTGGTTCGTTTCCAACCAGCAAATGAAGAAGAAAAAGTTTCATACATAGCATTGTACTCATACTTGTCCTCCAAGAAAAGGTGAGTTTTGGAGATGAACTTGATATGTTTCAAGAAAATTCTTTTAGTTTGGTCTTGGTCTGTAATTTGTTAACTCTTGCTACTGATGGCTAGCAATAATTAAGCCCTTCCCAGCAGTAGGGTTGTTAGAGAGAGCACCCAATAAAATTTTTTTTTGTCCTTTTTATGTTTTTTTTTTTTTTTTTAAATATTTATATGCCTACAGTTTTGAGAACTAATGTTATGGTATACAGAGTCTTCACAGCCAGTTACAGAGGGATTACTGTACATTTTGTACATTTTAGGCCTGGCACTTCAAATTCTGGAAACCCCCTATCAAGTCTTATTAAGTCACAGCGATGTTGTTGATCAGATGGAATCTGTTATTTGGATGTCCATATCAGCAGGAAGGCACATTTGTTCGAAACAACAACCAGCAAGTAAATACAAGTAAATAATAGTGGGAAAATCCTCTCACAAATAATCAGAAACAAGACAACAAAATTTAGAAAAAAGTGTGAGTCTACCCTCAAGTCAACTCCATGCTTTGTTATTAACTTTAATAATAAGCCATGGAGTTGACTTGAGGGTAGACTCACGTTTTTTCTAAATTTTGTTGTCTTGTTTCTGGTTATTTGCGAGAGGATTTTGCCATTATTATTTATTAATATGTATATTGTGTGTGTGTGTCTACACACACACACACATATACAATACTGGTAAAAGAAATAATTGTCTTTAGGGCAAACACATAAAGGGAATACAGGGGGATTTCGTTATACGAGAATTCGATGATACAGGGTTTTTACGGGAAATAGCCCACCCAGGCACAGGTTATCGATCCACAACAGTGCGAAAAAGTAAGGTTAAGGAATTTGCAACCTTAAATTCGCTATACAGTCATGCGCCGGTTAACGTCCTAGATACGTTCTTGGAAACGTGACGTTAACCGAAATGGACGTTGTCCAATCATCACATAAACTTTTTATTTATACCTAAGTGTATGTGGAATACTATATACGTACATATACACTTTTACTCTTAAATCACTACTGTTATGTGATACAGGTGATTAATTTTTATCTCTTGTGCAAAATACAGTGACCCCACCATTAACGAACTCAATCCGTTCCAGAAGGTCATTCGTTAACCGAAAAGTTCGTTAACCGAAGCCATTGTTTCAATGGGTTTTTGGGTAATTGGTTCCAGCTCACCGAAAATTTCCTAAATTCAACAAAAATGGTAGAAAAGTTCACTTACTTTGAGGTGTGTATGTAGAAGGCTCCTGGATGATGATGATGATGATGATGGGATTTAGAATGGGGTGGAGGAGAAGGAAGAAGAGAAGGCATTGGGGTGGAAGAGAAGTCACCCCATGGCGCCATTTCACCCATAAAATTTTAGCTCTCTTGGTGTAATTCAAGATTATTTTCTTTAAATCAACACTGCACTGCATTATATATTGTCAATATGTAAAATATATTTCAAAATGACCAATAATTTGCTTGGAAACACAGAAAAAAAGCGTTTAGTTGAAGAGAGTCTCAAGCAAGATGTTACCTCCAGTGAAAACAGAGAGAGACTAACTCCTGTTTGCTGTGTTAAGAGGCTGGACGCCGCGCATTAAACTAGTCACTTTACCTTCAATTATGTTCAATAATTGTTAAAATGACTAAAAAATTGAATATTAAACTTTTAAAATTATTGAATAGTATAAACTTCTTGATATTTACTAAAATAGTAAGGAATTTAGGCCCTAGAACTGATTAATGTATTGGCGGACTGATACTAAAGCTGGTTGCCCGGTCAGTGCAAGCGAAAACATGTTGAGGTCGGTTTGTAAGAACTTCGTTAACCGAATTTTTTTTCGTTAACTGAATTGAAGATCCTTATGGAAGGCAGTTCGTTAATCGAAATTACGTTAACCGAGGTGTTCGTTAAACGAGGGGTCACTGTACATGACGTTTATATTAAAATTATTCACTATCTTACAAGGATTCCAGCAACACTGGGCAGTTGGGGGGAGAGGGAGGGAGGGAGCGAGCGAGTGGGCTTGGGGGAAGGGGAGGTAGTACGTTTGACAGTTGGCACCGGCCCAAGGTCTAACATGTGTACCTGTATATTTATCAGTTCTTAAGTGACTAAGCTTCTCTTTTATAAAAAAACAGTGACATGACCTGGGTGAATATAATTAACATTGTTGGGATTCTTGTAAGATACAGTGAGTTCTGCTATAACGCGTGTTTTGATAACGCGAATTTGCTCAAACGCGATTTATGAATTAGGAACGATATTTGTATAACGCGAACGCTTGTTTGCTATAACGCGATTTTTGCTTACTATTTCTCCAATTTTGTGGTATTAACTGTGAATATAGTAAAGACGAATATCAACAAGAAGCGTTCTGGTGATAGAATTCCCGGTGATGATCGTAAAAGAAAGGATATAACACTTGAAGAGAAGCTCGATTTTATCAACCTCAAAATCACCCTTCTCCCCCATCAAGTAAAGTGTTACATTTACTGTATGATTTCATTATTAGATATGAATGTAACATTTATTTAGACTGTGCTATCCTTTGTGTTAGGCTAACTACTAAATTTTTTCGATTTCGAGTAATCTGCACCTAACCCTATTTTCTCCATAAGCCCTGTTATTTCTATTACGCGATTTTCTATAACACGATATTTTACAAGAACTCAATTATCGCGTTATAGCAGAACTACCTGTACTGATTAATTTGAATATAAACAAGCTATAATTTGCACTAGACATAACAATTTTAGTACCGTAATCAAATTAGTACATGTGCACTCCAGCTTTGCACTAAGGTCATTTATTTCTTTTACATTTGTGTTAGTATGGTGTGTGCATGTAAATGGATGAAAATAAATGAAGAAATTTATGTAAATCTACCGAAAAATACAGTTGAAAATTTTTATATTATAAATGTACTACAGTACTGTACTGTACACTAATGTACAAAATTTTTTATCTCTTGAGCAAAATATATGTTTATATTCAAATTATTGGCTGTCTTGCAAGAATTCCAGCAATGCAAATTATATTCTCCTAACTTTAGTCTGAGATATTATATAAGATAAAAATTGTAAGCCTAAAACCCTGGCTGGGAGGGACAGCCAGCCAGCGAGGGGTGGGGTGGGGGGGTTGAGGTGATATGTTTGACAGTTGAGCCGAAGGTCTCTGTGTGTTTATTTAACAGTCCTACTAAGCTTCTCTCATTTTAAAATGCCAGTGAAATGACTTAGGAGAGTATAATTAACATTGCTGGGATTCTTGTAAGACACTGATTTATTTGAATATAAACATGCAGTAATTCGCACTAGACATAACAATTTTAGTACCATAATCAATTTAGTACATGTGCATTCCAGCTTTGCACTAAGGTCATTTATTTCTTTTATGTTTATTTTGGTATGGTGTGTGCATGTAAATGAATAAAAATAAATGAAGAAATTTATGTAAATCTACCCAAAAATACAGTTGAAAAAATTTATATTATAAATGTACACTAATGTACTACATTGTTTATATCTTGAGCAAAATATATGACGCTTATATTTAAATTAATCTCTGTCTTGCAAGGATTTCAGCAATGCAAATTATATTATCCTAACTTTAGTCTGAGATATTATATAAAATAACATAAAGAAATCACTAATCTTTTGTCTGGGAACACAAGGAAGGAGGTAGCCAGGAGCGTGTGGGAAGAGGGAGGGAGCAGGGGAGGGGGTGGGAGGTGAGGTGACAATGTCTGGCGTTTGTTTGTTTATTTATTTGAGATAAGATTTGACAGTTGGCGCTGAAGGCCTGCGTGTTTATTTATCATTACTTAAGAGTGACTAAGCTCTCCTCACAATTTGCCACCCAAACGACCTGGGTGAATATAACTTACATTGGAGGGATTCTTGTAAGATAGTAATTTTTTTGAATACCTGTATAAACAAGCTATAATTGCAATAGACATAACAATTTTAGTACCGTAATCATTTAGTACAGGTACAATACAGGTTTGCACTTAGGTCCATTGTTACTGTACAATATTGACTAAATTCACTAGATAACGTATATGCTATCGGACGTTGTTCGGTCGAACGTTAACCGGCTCATGACTGTATACTGTTTTCTCCCAAGCATTTCTCTGGTAGGGAGGGAACGTGGGGGGTAGGGAGGGAGGGATGGACCGACCCAGCTAGGGTGGAGGTGGGGTATTTTGATTGACAGATAGTGTCGGTGCCGAATATTTTTTTTTTATTTACTGAAGATATTTATTTTAGCTCATAAAATTCATACAAATTACCCGGCCAGAATATAATTTACATTGCTGGAATTCTTACGATATGATGATCATTTTGAATATAAACATCATGGATTTTGCATTAGACATACAAATTTTAGATCTAATGTAATAATTTGGGTTACACAAAGCAAATATCTTATCTTTTGTGCAAAATATATGAAGTTTACATTCAAAATATACCCTGACCTGCAAGGAATCCAGAAATGTCAATTATATTATCCTGACTTTAGTCTGAGGTACAGTATTATTTATTTTTAAACGTTAAAATCTAGAGTTTTCACCCAAACATTAATCAGAGAGGTAGGAGCTAGTGAGCTGGGAAGAGGGGGGGTGGGGGGGGGGATTTGAGTCCATTATTTGAATGGACATTAACCTGGCGACTGTATTTCTCTTAAATATTAATTGTGTGAGCATACCATCATAAAATTTTGATGTTATTTTACTACAACATAGGTATTGTGTCTGAAAAAGTGGAGTTTGGGGGTCGGGCCAGTCTCTATTGGAATTAATCCCATATGTTCTGTTGTTCACTTTACGCGGTTTTCACTTTCCGCGGTACCCTGTGGGTTCAATTGACCGCGTAAATCGGGGTACTACTGTGTGTATATATATATATATATATATATATATATATATATATATATATATATATATATATATATATATATATATATATATATATATATATATATATATATAT